ATAGAAATCCGACACCCTTGTCCCGCTCCGTGCGATGAGATAAGGTGTGGATGAAGATTTCCCCACGTAAAAAAAGTTTTTTTTTCCGGTATTACCCCGCACCCTCTCCCCGACGAGCGCGGGTGCCTATGATCGTTCCCTTCATGTAAAAAAAAAAGTTTTTTTTCTTTTTTTTTTTAATTTTTCCATCGAGACAACGATCTACAATGAGATCCGTTATAACGTACCGCAGGCGTACCGAGCGAAAATTCAAAGTCGATTTTCTCGAAAACAAAGCCTCAAACGAAAAATTGTTATTCTATATTTTCGACTTCTTTTTTCGCGTAGAATCACTCCCTTTCCGCTTGTACCACCAGTTACCACCCTGTATATATTTTTTTCTGCTTAACTAACTACATTGTTTACATGAAACTTTTTGTTTTCTTTGAAAAGAATCATAGCGTCTGTTAAAGACAATACTTCTCACTCTTCTTTATTATATCGTGTTTACACAATTTAGATTCCTAAATTTTCAATTACATTTAGTGTGTGATATAATAAAAATACTTTAACGTTAACGAAAATTACTCATCTAGAGAAGAGAAACATGGACGAGTAGGAAATGAATTTAAGAAGAAACCGTCTACCGAGGTATATCCACACAAAGATATTGTTCCTAAACTGACCATTAACATTTTAAAAACGACAGGCAAAAGAAGTAGCACAAGCTTGAAGGTTAGTCCCAGAGCGAAATCAAAACCGAAAACATTGCGACATCCATCAAAAAAATTTAGTGAATCGGAAAGGACTGCCTGGGGCATAAAAAATTACACTAACGCGTCAGTGTGTGACATTATTAATAAAAGAATCACAAGAGAATCGGAAATTCTTCGAGCACTCGAAAAAATAATTAAAGCTACGCCAGAAAAGAACAAAGGAAAATATGTTGAGAAACCAACGTACTGTTATAAAAATCAAGCTCAAGGGGAAACAAACGAAGTTTTCAAACAACCGACTGAACCGATCGCAGTTAAAGAAGAAATGAAGATTAACGAGGAGGAGCCTACGAGGGATATCGATTCTGAGCAATACAGAAAAAGTCAGTTAAACGAAGTACAGTTGAAGGAAAAGTTTCAAGACGATCATCAGATAGCGAAGAACTTTTCAGAGAATCTTCCTGAAAATCTTTCGATATCAATTATGCCAAAAAATGTTATTCCTGTTCTAAATACGAGCGCTGAAGAAAATACTAAAAATGTTGCAACAAACGAACATTTCGAACATTTTCAGTCAAAAGCTCAGTCAAGCGTTGCTTTAGGAACTACTACGAGTTGTATTGTGGATATTAATTCGAGCTCAGTTGATAGTATCAAAATAGAAGCTACGAAATCTTGTCAAACTTCTTCCAACGCTATTTCTTCGCCAGATGTTTCAGAACTAAAACAAAAAAGTGAAAAATCCAAAGAGAACGACACTTGTCAAGAGAATAACACTTTCTTCCTCGATAATAACAGAGAGCGACAGAAATGTGATAGTACGAGGTCGAAGATCCTGAATAATCCATCGATTATGAAAAAGGAGAAAACGAGAATAAACTCTCATGCAGTATCATTGAGCATGTTAAAGGAATTCCTTTGTGATCAGGGTATCGACGTTGATTTGGTAAATAAAGCTGAAAGATATCTAAAGGACAAACAGAAAACTTGCAAAAGTTTAAAAAAGAAATCTATCAGCTTCGCGGATGTACCTTCTTACATAGAACATAATCGACATTTTGAAAAAAAGACGATTTTGAAGGAAGAGCATTCTTGGGAGGAGAAATTGGACAAAAATATTGAAGAAGATATTGAGAAGGATTTAAGAAAAACTATCGGAAAATCTGAAACTTTTATTAACGATGAGGAGAATTTAAATGAAGTTCCTTTGCCAAAAACGAAAGATATTGCTACGTGTACAATTATAAACAATAACGACGCCTATTCTCAAACGGTTATCCATTGTAAGATATCCAAATGTTTGCAGTCTACTCCTGAGAAGGACGCTTTAACGTCGATAGAATTGCAAGCTACGGGGACGCAAACGGAAGTGGAAGGAAGAAACGCGTGTTCAATGACAGAGTCGCTTAACTGCAGTTCCCCAAAAGCGTTAGGAAAGTCGTATGTTTGCAAGTCTGTAACTATCGAACATGTAACTGAACTTAAGAAGAAAGATTTAGGATCGAAAATGTATAAAGACTCAGAAAATTCCAAATCACAAAACGATTTGCACAAAGATTCCAAAAACGTTTCTACAAAATCTATCGATATAGAGTCTACAGACATTGAAGAGACGAATAAAATTGAGAAACATTCATCGAAAGAGTGTTCTCGAGCGTTTGAAAATTTATTAAATCAGATGCGCGAGGAATATAATGAATCTTTACCGAATTATAAAAAGGATGACGCGGTGGATGAACTACGTTTCAACGAATCGAAAATATCATTAACATCCAACAGTTCGTCTATGATAATTAAGGGGGAAAGTAAAGAGGAAGGTCAGTCTCCTGTTAAAATAGTTTCCAGTGGAATAGTAGCTGCCCTTCAAGTGGCCGTCATCAGAGCTCGGAACGTGTACAAAGCCCTTGACATCTATAAACGAAGATTAAGCAATAATCTGAAGAAACGACATAAAGAATCGAGACGAAAAGAGAAGATAAGCAAAGTTTGTAAAACGTGCGAGGAGGAATCGAAAAGCGTGTCGAGAAGCAGCAGCGTGGTGAAGATCATTTTGCAAAAAAGAGACGACAGTAGAAAGGCCGTTATCGAAGTATTTAAGGATCTCGGACAAGCGGATGTTACATCAGCGTTAAGCGAAATATGCTTGGATCGTCATAGCGATGTGAACAGCGAATCTGAAGAAGACAGTTTTGAGTCTGTTGTTAATTTATCAACGAGTACTTCCTTCAGTGAAGCCAGTTTTAAAACAGTCGACCTGGGAATTCCGAAAAGGTCGTCCAGCAGCGTTGTTTTAAGAGACGTGGGATCTTTGATGGGATTTTTGATAAGCAAGATCGATGATGTAACGTTCGAGAGAATTGAGTGTGTTACAAAAATATCGAATACATGCGAGCCAGAATTTTGCGGAGATATGAGGATGGAAGTTGTGAAAGTGGAAAGACGAGTTTCAGTATTCTCAACAGAGAGTTTATTGATTTTAGTTTACGGCATGTTGTGCTCTGTCGTTTTCTGGTGTTTAAATTTTACCATTAGCTGCGAGGTCTTATGATTTATGGGGTCGCTTTGTGTTGTATTGTTCATTTATATCGTTCTTTTCCTGTTCGATTTTGTGAATGTTGTATCGTTAGTTCTTTTGTCTACGCTTTATATACATTTAGTCTATTGTTAATTACAAAATTTAACAAAAAATAATTTTGTTAAGTAAATGATTGAATTAAAAACATTTAATTAATATTAAGTAAACTTTTCATTTAAATAAAATCGAAATAAGATAATTATACCATCATATACGTCATTCTACGGATAAAAAATGCATAAAAGATAAGACAATATCATTTATTGGTAGACATTATTAAATATACAAAACTATTTCTTGCTTGTAACGGTATATACCATACATATCAAATAACTCACGAATTAGCGATACACGCTTGGAAACACAGATACTTAAATTTATTAAAAAACAAATGTGCATCAAAATTGAAAAAAAGTAAGGACTACAAATTACATAATGTGATATCATAATTAATGATAATTAATAATATAATATTTTTTTAAATATCACAATATATAATCACATTCTAAATATACATAATTATTAATTTTATATATAAAAATACACCTGATAATAGAGTAATGGGAGTCAAAAGGAATTCATATTACTAAATTGCGGTTGTTTATGCATTTATAAAATATACAAACTAAAGTGCACGTTATAATATTTAGTAGGTGAAATGAACCTCTAATTAGATTCTAATTCCTTAATATATTCATAAAGTAAAATATTTGTATTCTTAAAAATTATATAAAATATGAATTTCTCCAACAAACATCTACAGCTTAGATATTACTACGCATAATTTTCATTCATTACGCGTTTAGAACGAAAGCATTTAGAATTTTTATATTATATTAATTTTCGTGACTGATAAAATATATCGTATAGTTTTTCCAGAAACACGTATAAGCATCCAGAGTCTAGTAATAATTGGATGGAACGTGTCCACATTGATATTATACAGGTTTTTAGGTATATACATACGTTTTTTAATTAATACGTGTCGATATGTGTATATTAATATGCGTTATCTATTCCTAATGAGGATAAAAATGTAACATTGTTCGAATTCGGACAATCTTATTCCTCCTCATCAAGAACATCGATGGCAGCTGATCCTGTGACATCAACTAGCTGTTTCGAAGTAAATGTGGCAATGATCTTCTGCGCGCCAGCCTTTTGAGGAATTAATTGATGTTCCACGTAGACGTCTTCCTCAGGTTCGATGTCTCTGAACGCTAGAGTCTTGTTCCTTGTTAACCCGGGGCCAGCGTAATTGAACATACACTCCGTTAATACTCTCTTCAGGGGATTCTTGAATCTAAGACTGATAATCGATGGTTTTCCTACTACAGGTTCGCCGTCGATCTAATATTAATGATAACAAACATTAATTCTAAAATATAATTATTCCAATATTAATTGATTGATGGATTAAAAATTATAAATGCAAGTTTATGCGACGTGCATTATTAGAAGGCCTTAAATGACTTGAGGTATAAAAATAATGTAACTCTACACATTTACTTGCGTTTATAAATTTATATGTAATTGAGCAACCAAAAAGAATTGAATCTTCAATCTTCAGATATTAAGTTAGATATTTAAATATTGAAACGAACTGGCAATTTTCTAGAATGAATGAAATTTAGTATCAGGAAAGTTATATATATGTATATTATATAGTTCCTGAAACTCATACATATACTATCTTATTTTTCCTCACATTTGGCATCATGCACACGAAGTTCATAATACCAAGCCAAGATAAATAGAGACGAAAATAAGCTATTAACAATGGAATTCGGTCTTTGAAATATCGAGAATCGAACTGAGAACCTCCGCGCAGTTATGAACTCAAGTCCTAGTCGACCAAGTCAGTACGGCTCTATGTATCAGAAGGATGATTGTTGTATTATTTGGAAATTCATTGGCACATTTTTGTCCCCTTATTAATTTGAATATGAAAGTCTTTACTGTACTTTCCCTTTTTCTTTCAAATATTCAATTTCAATTGAACGAGAATTTCACGTGATTATATCTTGCAAGTCCAGATCAATCGTTTACTTTACCTTGACCGTGATGCTCGGTTTCAAGACCTGAAAATCATCTTCGTCAGCCCATGTCTGTTTAGTTTCCACGACCGTAGCGATGGAATACAATTTCATATTACAATACTCCACAAGCTTGTCCAAATAATCATCCACTGTAACTCTGAGCCTTAACTGTTCGCCTGAGAACAAATTAGATCTGAGTCATCATCTGAGAAAAAATAGGACGGGAAATACATACGAATATCTTCGAAATCATATACTAACCTGATTCATAAAAAGAAATATTTTACTTTAAGAACGTTAAAGAATTACTATGATATACGCATAATCATCATAAACACTGATTGCTTTTTTTTAAATTTGTCATATGTTTGGATTACAGTAATTGAAAAACAAGTAAGCAAATAAATAAATACATAATTCTTAGTAGCAATAATAGAGAAGAGAAGGGCATTACAAGAGGGGGAAGAACGACAAGAAGAAAGCACAGCAAAAGTTGCAATAGTTTTTTTTAGTCATTAGTATTTAGTTTTTAGAGATAGAATAATTAAGGGAGTGCAATATAATAGAGTGGATAAGAGAGGAGGTAGATATATAAGAAATAGGTATAACAGCAATAATAAATAAATAAATAATAATAACATAATTCTTAGCGATAGTAAGATTCTCAGCTGAATAAAAATCTAACGTCTAATAAGAAATCAAATAAAAGTTTCCAGTTCAATGAAAGACATGACATAAAAATTAAATAAAGATTCTAACAATTTGATATAAAATAAAATTCAATAAACGACCTAACTGTCTAAAAAGGATCAATAAATTATAAAAATCTAAATAAAGGAATAAATAATAATAAACTTACTGGCATGTGGTTGCAGAACGAAGTCACCAGACGCTCTCTTTACTAGATGTGCTTTGATTCCCGTATAGTACACGCTACCAGCAGATAGAACAGCTTGAATAGTACGTATCTGGTTCGATTTATTTTTCATGTTCACTATAACTGCAAATGGTTGTCCGATGTTCACTCGTTCGATATCCACAAGATCGAACTCGACATCTTCTTTCGCAGGTGAGGGCAAAGAGTAGAATCTCTTCGCCAGTTCTGTGTTGCGTACGGCTCTGTACAGAGTCAGACGCTCAACTTCCGTTCCTGAACGTAAATAAATTACCAGAGTTGAAATAATCGATTCGTAACTTCTCATAGAAATTTTTATAAATTCACAAAGGTGCAATTTTGCAGGATTTGTATGATTTTTTTAAATATGGATGTTCTAGAGAATCGTTAAAGGGTACAGATAAACAGAGTTTAAGAGAATCAAGTAACAGTCTTTATCGTGCTATTGTAACTATCTTTTAATTACGTGTTATGAAGAGTGAAAAATTTATTTCAAAACTGCTTGAAAGACATTGGTGGAATTAGAATGAGTTAACCAATATTGAAGTTCAAAGTTCCATTGCATCTAAAGTTCAACGAATTCCACCATAAAAGTTAAAGGAGTTCATTGAGTTTAAATGTTTAAATAGATGTAACAGCTTAAAAGATTGATGACAGCCACAGGGGTTTAGATCAGGTCCATTTAAAAATATACGTCTATTCCTATTACTCATTCTCATTGACTCCTATCACACTATGTATGTCCGCTCCATATTGTCTGTTTCTACTTTCAGCTCGGTATATCATCTTTCTCTAATTGTAAGAAAAAGAATTGATAAAGGAATTGTATCGTAGAAGATGCAGATATAAAGAGGGGAAGTTTAAAACAAGTGTAGCGTTACAAATTTTTTAAACGTGTACTGTAATATACAAAATATTCAAATATCGATGAATATCGTTCAATAGATTCTTATTTACCTTCTTTTGCCTTGTAAATAGATGTTATCTCCTCTCTGTCTCTGTCGCCATTGGGATCGAAAATCCAAGGTGCTTTCGTCAAGATCATCCGGCCAATGCTATCAAAAATAGAAATTGTGATTAAAATTTTTTTTAAATAGAGGAGGAGCATATAAGATATGCTTTTCTATACAAATTGATACATAACAAGTTTCTTACGTGTTCCATGTCCCCAAGGCCATGAATAACTTATGATAATTAGGTTATTTCTATTATAATTAATTCTAATAAAACTTTCATTTTGTATTTACGATATATCTTTTACTATAATGTTTTTTAATACATTATAATTTTCGCAATCACGAAATGTGTTAGAGAATGCACGATTAAAAAACGTGGAGTGTATGAATATTTTTCATGTTCCTCAAAGTTACTTAATTAAAAATACGGTAATAATCCGATCGATAAATTTGTTTTTCAAATGATTTTATCACTAACATCGTTTAACATCCCACTTTCCAAAACGCCACGGGACTTAAAGTTATGTCACCATCAGTCTATATGCTTAGAAAATGGTTTTATAATATTCATTGTTATTATATTATCTTATTTTGTAATTTCACTTTATTGCCGTGTTATCAACTGATTCATTTAATAGCAGTTATTAATAATCAAACTATAAGCAGTTATAAATAATCAAACTAGATTATAAACCAAAGTATTCGAAAAATACGATTGTACAATTCTACGTATCAATTCCTTTCGATTAGCTTTTAACAGTGTGCATATAAACTAATAATATACGGCAATATGCATACTAAAGACTTCAAGGTCAAAATTACCACTGCAATCACGATTTTTCACAAGCTGATGAGTCAAAAAGAAAACCGATGCTAGCAGAGTTGGATGTTTATTTTACAATTAACGATTCTGACGACAAAGACGATGACGCTATCGACTTGCTAATGTTTTCGTTGCTAATCTTCGTGTCTTATGACATCAGCATATATCAAATTTATATATGAAAAAGACTGATATGATGTAAAGATTGATATAAATAAGTTGTCATAAGCAGACTAAGCATTTCTATTCAAACTCATATTTTACATTATTGTATTGTAAATCTGCTAATTTTGTATTCTCTTTTTACAAAATCAATTCTTATTTGAATTGCTTATCAATTAAATCGATTCTTAGTTGAATCGCTGCTCCGAATGGTTTTTTTAATATATATATATACTCACTGATATTTATTACAGTCGATTTTCCTGAATCCCAGCTCGCTCTCAGAATCCTCCATCCATCTCATCAAATCGGCATTCACCGAAGCCAGCATAAACGTCACGTCATAATTATAACCAACGACTCCTTGTTTGATAGCTTCGACAGAAGCTGGTCCGCATTGATATATACCTCCTGAAGGTTCTTGTGGCGTAGCATCGATCGCCTGCCAACCACCATAACCTTTAGGCAAATCTGGTCTAGCCATCCATACGTCGTTCCAAACGTGATAATTCCATATAGAATCTTCGCCTTCGAGATTGTTTGGATCGTAATCAAGTTCCTCGTTGTCTTTGGTGTAATAACGATCGACGGAAAGCGAGGCATTCGCATCGTGGGCCGATACCAAATTTGAAACCACTCTGGACGGTATACCAAGAGCACGACAGACGGTGGTCACAACACCAGCGAATACCCAACATTGTCCGTATTTGACGGAATCGCCTGTCTCTAAGAATTGTTCGAGAATCGGCACGCTACCTGTCCAAGCGGCTGGAGCTGTACCATCAGCGTAATCACCATCCCAGCGACCGGTAACCACACCTCTGTCATCGTTGGAATTTACCTGCAAGAAGAGTTGGATTTTGAATAAGCTAGTTATCGATCGATCAATTATTAGGGGATACTATATGAAAACTGTGATTCTGAAAGGAAGAATAAAATCAATTACTTGATGGTATAATGAAAAGAGAAAGAAGTTCAGGTTAAGGACTCGACGAACAATTAAGTTTCTTGTCTCAAGATTTTTTGGTATCAGATACAAAAAATATATACGTATATGTTCGATTAAAGGTAATAAGTAATATTTAGGAAATTCCTGGGATACGATTAATCGTTGCACAAATTGGGTAAAATAATAAATAGCAGAAGACGAGTTTGTTACACAAATGAACTGTAATGAAAGATTGAGAAAGAATCAACATTTTTGAAAGAATTGAATTTTGTCGAAGAGAAAGTGTTTATGGTTCTTTATATTCTTTAATTATAAATCTTACAAATGCGAAATCTAATATAACCTGACATTTGGTCTAGCTAATATAACGGGATTTATGTAGAACCGATTTACATTTAGAACTTACTTCGCTCTACACGTGATTGAATAGCAATCGAACTTACGATTCTCGAAATAGCTCTACACATTTGAACTGGATCCCCTCTGGAATTAGCTTTGATGCCGGATCTTTCTAGCAGCAATTCACAAGATTTAAGCACACAAGCATCGAATTGTCCAAACACCCATTCTCTACCACGTGCACTTCCCCATGAGCCAACCCATATTTTTCCAACATCATTTAGAACATACTCGTCCAACAGCTGCTCATCCTCCATGAATACTAAATCCTCTGAAAATAAGACAAGAATATAACATAAGTTCATAAAATTCAGAGATTCATGGAATTCTCAAAATTCATAAGATAATATTATTTTATATATTCTACATATTTATATAAAAATTAAATTACATTAATACTCCTAAGGTAAGAGTAAGTATAATTGACATAATCAAAGTATAGTTGAAGTATATTATAGCTGTGAATTTAAAAGCACATTCATGATCGGTATATTATATGAAAACTGTGATCAAGTTTAGAAATCAGTTTGATCTATTTTTCTCGAAAATATGAAGAGTAATTTTTAAATCGAGTTCTATAAATTATACGTCAATTTGGGATATTAACATTCTCTAAAATATTAACTCAAGAACACTAATATTATTCGAAAAATGCACATAGATTCTAGATGTAATGTAAACATTTATGTTAGCTTGTAAATCTGTTTTACGATCTCCCGTTTTTAACGTAACATAATTACATCATTTTTATGCGAAAGATCTTTATTTCCGGAGATGAAACCTTGATCTTTAAAAGAATTTGGCTTATTACCAATTCCTTAGTTCCTTTATATCTTCGAAATATCTTTATATTCATTTTGCATTTAAAAGCAATTAAAAGGTTAAGAGAAAATAGAAATTTAATTTAATTCTATAATAAATTTCGAGTAAACTAAATAAAGTAGCAGTACCTCCATACGATTATAAAAATTTATTAAAATGAAACGTAATAAATGTTATAAAAATATTACAAAAATGTGCCAATACTTTTTGCTCTTTGTACTCGCTGTACTTAAATATCAAACACAATGTCATACCTTTCATCCACGGATTAAAAAGCAGATAAATGTCCTTGTCGTAACTATAGGTATTTGGTTGTTTTTTACTTCCTACGATGGTGGTCTCCACATTTAATTGCCATGTGCCAACAGGGCTATCGATGGGGCTTCTTACTTCCGCGGTCAGATCAACGCCATTGACGCCCACTAAACGAACACCCCATGCCTCCAAATCAGTCAAATAATTGTCTCTATTGGTAATGGTGTTTATTCCTCTGGTTCCTCTAAGGACGTTCGGATTTGGTCCGAAACTAAAGAGCAATCTAACGATATCCGTTTCAGCCACATAATCTCGATTGAATCTTAAGGCTACATAGAAAGATTGGCCTCTTCTAAGAACAGGAGTCGCTGGTTCAAGATGTACCAATTCGTAGCTGATGGTGCGATGGGCCTTTGCGTTTTCTTTTTCGTAAAGGTACACCATATCGACGACTAATGCCTCTTCCGACGACATTTTGGCGACTTTGTTGGTTTTTCTTTGGTTTCTTCCGACTAAAAGAAATTGTTAAGAGCATCTATAAATGTGTGTACTGAAGAAAGGGAGAGATGAGATGGTAATATGAATAATAAGTTTATAGAAATTTGTGATTGGAACAAAAGATATGATATTATATCGAGAGATGAGATACTATTGAATATTATGCGATAATTACTATAGTTTCATGTGGTAATCTAGAAGAGGAAACATAAAGCAGTGTCATATACATATGTAAATCGTACGCGTATTTCAAGGTGTCGCAATTCGAAACCGCCAAAGTGGAGCAGTAAATTGTGTGCACGTGTATGTTTCGAAATATATAATCTTCTTTAAGTAGAAAAATCTTATAAATTGAAATAATCATTTGCAAGTAAATAGATAATTATCAAGTAAAATATATTTATTAATAATACATATATTTACATAAAATAATACTATAAAATAACAATAATACATTACATAAAATAATGAGTTTCCCCAATTACGTAAAATAAGGTTGATAGCAGGTTGATTAGTCAAACTGTATGCGTAATAGCTCAGAAATTTAGTAATAATTTGATAATTCAAGTGATTTATTAAATTTCTACTATAGTACGAGCTGATAAAAACAATACTACTGAAGCTACTCATCATTGCGAAAAGCCATGTGTGGATACATTACTACGCTAGCTAAAAATAACTATGTTCTCATTCATGCTATGTAGTGTATCGTAAATTTATGATACTACTTTCATTCATGTCAATGTTTCGGTTCAAGTGCACGCGAAAGAACAGGAAGCATTCCTCACGATAAATTCTTCGAAACCTTACGCATTCGTAACTGGAATGCGAGGAAACGAGAAAAGTATGACAGCAATGAGCTTTATGCAGAAAAAGAATTGATTTCTTATTTAAAAGAAATCGAGCCGTAAATGTCGAACGATAGCTCCGTAACAATTCTCACCTTGTTTAGAAATTCACATTCGTACGATGCATTTGCTATTATGAAAATTTCAAAGGTTTTTAATCCACTTTCTTTTGCCTATATTAACTGAAAATTTTAATTTTTTTTTTTAATTTAATATTTCACATTCACAATTTGTGCAATTTGGACATTTGGTAGAATTTTTTAGCTGTTTGGTTATCATGAGGGTGGCTACCCCCAGTCGGGTACCATCTTCGTGTTTGTTAGGTTATATCCTTTATGAGAAAATTTTTTTGGAAGAGTAAAATCTGTTTAAACGTTTATCGTTTCAATTTGATGATGCAACGAATATATAGAATTATATAGAATTAAATATATATAGAATATATATAATTATTCGATAAAACGAGAGGCGGTCCAATTTTATCGAAATGCATAACGATTATATGTATTTATTTTAGTATCACGATATGCAAAATAAATGTGCGGCGTTATCAATATCCAAATATCTATTGAAGATACATTTTCTTAAATTTTGTCTCTTGAAGTTCGCAAGACAAGAATTAAATTTTGCATTTCTGTTCCGAATAATACAAATTGCTTCGAATTATGTATGTATTTTCTTCCTTGTTTTAATACGAATAATTATAGTTTACATTTGCACGAAAAATTTAAAATTATTACAGTCCACAATTATTACACCCATATTTTCTAGATACGTGACAACGATCACATATAGTATCCTTCTCTGTGTTTCAAAGTTATGACTAATACAAAAATTGAAATTTTCATTTCGTTTTCAAAAACAATTCTGTAAAAAAATGATTATACATATTTACGAAGATAAATGCTTAATAAATTGCCAAACTCTAGTCATATTTTTAAATGTCCATCAAATTAAATCGAACTATTGTGATATTTTATATATCGATTAATAAATATATAACTAATTATATTATTGCAATATTAATTTATAAATATTAACTAAATCAAACGAAACATCCTAAAATTAAAATTATTTCTATAATGAAATATGTCAGTAATACTGACTAACTAGTATGTCAATGAAAATTTAATTTCTTGTGATTTTAAACGTAGGCACATGTCGAAACCTAAATTGCAGTTTGCATTTCCGAGAATGAACAGGAAAGGTAATCACGAGGCCTTGAGCATGGCAAATAAGCCTTGTCCCCAAATACCAGACGCGTTTTCATTTCCAAGACAGGTCGAAATTTACCTTTGATTCATCCAATTGTTGCGTAAATATCCAGGATCGAACCTCAAAACGTGAGCTGCCTTATAAAACGGGCGTGTTTCACCCCTGAATGTAATCAACGACTCTCGATTTCTCAGATTTCTCATACCAAAGAGAGACAAATGAACGAATTATATCATTGGTATAAAGCTAATCTTTATATGTACGTTTTGTCCATAGATTTAATACTGATAACATTTTAAGAGCGAGTATAATCCGCATAAACATTCTATGAGATTACGGTAATTCCCAGTTTTTTTTAAAAACTCTCCGTTTTCTGATAAATATATTTGTTTCGGCTTTTGTACAATAAAATTACGTAATAAATTACATATTTTAACATATTTTAATAATAAGTCTCAAGCTGTCATTATGAAAAGTAAGTAGAAAATTTGGCAATTTAGTAAAAAAAGTAAAAAAATGAATAGAAAATTGTGTATAAAAAGTTAACAAATGAGCTATTTAATTAAGAATGCAAACAAAGTAATTTTCTCGTGAATAATTGTTATAACTGTCAATTTAATTTTCTTCCGATCTCGTTCTGTCAAATTAAGGTTAGCAAAGATTACAAAAATAAAAAAAAGTTATAAAAATAAATGAGATTAATTTCATAACAGTGCCGTAAAAATAAAAAGGTAGTAAAGATACAGTTTGTTAAACTTACAAATTCAGTCGAAAAATTAAAGACGTTTCTTTGATCCTGGATATAAGGAACGGGCCACCATTAACAACCAACTTACATTCTCTAAACTGACACTCATGTTCTGTCTTTTTATACGAACAGCTTCCTTCGAGCTAACTGCAGTCCCCACTACGGCACGTATGAGCTGCACGTGTACCAGCTTCCGATTTTTCAGCCACCAATTTCACAAGATATCATCAAGTGATTCTTTTCATTTTAGTCAACAGGTATGACATTAATTTTGTTAAGTCCTTTTTTCTGTAGAACAATCATGTACCGCAGATAAACATCTTTATATTTTCTTGATAAAATAAAAAAACAAACATTATATAATATAAATCTCAATAAAAAAGTAACTTATTTTCCAAATGCATCATTCGTCAAATAATATTATTTAAGATAACATAGAGAAAGTAAATAAGAACTAAAATAAAAATTTGATTTGAATAAAAATTTATACCAATGATGTCTAATCCTTTTTTATGTATAGTGGTATATACAAAATGTAATCCTATGATTATTATCATCTATAGAAAGCAAAATGATAAAATTTTTTTCTATTGGAAAAAACTTGTTATTTCATATTAATTTCTTTGTAGGTCCTTACGTTTTCAAAATAGCTGTGCAATTTTTACTTTTTAAAATACTATGGTAGACATTAATCCAGATTATCTCCAAATGAGATAAACATCTAACACTCAGAGTTTGATTTAATCCAAGCATTATTAATAGAATTTCCAATAACAAACATTGAAAATAAAAATGTATGTACTTAATTCTCGATTTTATGAATATCAATAGAAAGGAAATATTAAAGGAATATTATCTTATCGTCTTGACATACATCGCTAATTAGCTCATAATGTAAATGTAGAGGGATATTGCGGTTTTCCACACTATTGATATCGTTGCACGTAGATGAAGGGGCTGAAAGAAGGAAGAAAATGCATGTGTCAATTTTCCATAAATTTATTTGCGCTCCGTCTTATCGGACTACACAAATTACGTTGTAAATTATTGGTCTGTCTGTAATTTTCCAATTGTACGGTCTTTCATTTGTCTTCTTTTCTTTCGTTCCTAACACCTTTATTTTTCCTTTTTATATCGTCGCGCGCTAAATATTTTTCACTAGGAACCAGCACGCATTTTTAAATGCATTCTAAACACATCTATGTCAGGTTTGACAAATTTGCTTTTTTCTTATTTACACAGAGGATACAATTCGTTAACGAAAGCTATACATTTTCAAAATCTGATTGACAATTGAGCAGAGAAACATTGAGGTTATTTGAATTGTATATTCGATGAATATATTTGTTCCTTAGTTCTTGGAGATCTTGATCAAATGTATATTGATTTGCATATGTAGATTCCACACAGAACAAACATGATAAATCCACTTTTGACATAGTTGGAAAGAAGAAAACAATTAGATCTAAAGATACAAGTATTTTAAAAATAGGTGGCATATCTACATACGCGTACATTTAGTCTCGAAATCAAATACAAAGAGAAATCTAAAAGCGTATTTTTTATAAGCGTAATTTTATTTATGGAAATGTAATTTATCACATTTTTTCTTTAAGATTTTTAGATATTTTGCGGGACAATCATAAAATAGTAATTAAATTAAACATAATTGAAAATAAAATTATTTTATAAAGTAGTGCTGCCCAAGCTTTATCCATATATAAGACTGATTTCCCTCGTTTTTAATTACAATAATTTAGAATTTACAAGAAAGATTTTCTTACTGAAAATATGAATAATTACAAATGAAATAGTTAATATCACAAAAATATAAATCATGAAATTTAGAAAATATGTAAGTATAAGTGGAAAATAATATAAATTAAAAAGCCAGAAAAGCTGTTATATTATTCTAGTTAAATACTATTGGGAAACAAAGTTACTTCCCCTATTGATATTACTGTTGTAAAACATTGTGACTTTGAATATAAAGATACAATTACTTACAGGGCGACAAAGTAAGATATTAACATGAATGTAAAATAGTACAGTATTTACAGCGCAAGTTAATAACTTAAATAATATAATAATATCATAATTATGTTAACTACGTTACAAATGCTTAACAGCAAGTTTACTAAAAATTGGAAATACACAAAATTTCACCTGGAATTTATAATGAACTATGAGATTAAATAATATTTTGTAACAATTAAACGAATCTTAGAGCTTTTTTAATCTTAATGTTATAAAAAGAAGAAACAATGATAGTACAAATATTAACTGATAAAGTTCAATAATAATTCTAATCCTTTTAAATAAAAGTATTTTGTATTCTCTTAAATAAATAATTATTGTTTTATTTCAAAAATTAAAAATATACAGAAATACGAAACAGACAATCTTGACCTATTATGTTTGAAAGTATTATTCAATACTGATCAATTCTGTCCATTTGGTCAAATTTAATAGCATCAGATTCTGAAAAGTACAGCAAATTCAATTGACGTCGCCACGACAGTTCGCACATATAGAACAAGTACAAATCAAGAGCTGTTATATACGGATACATATTCTAGGAATAATGAGTCGTACGTTGAGCATTGGTCTAACAGTACATAGGATTAAGGCGAACGATATTCGTACGAGAACGGAAAGAGAGAAACCATTCGTTCCTTTACAGACCTGTTTCCGTTTAAAATTTTACGTAACGAGATCCAAAGCTAGATCAAATGGATAATTATCGTCAACTAGTCATTCCAAAAAATATTTTCTCCGTTCAATCGCTCTGTGAGTTATTCGACTACATCATTTTTAGCGAATTTACAGTAACAGATAAGTTTTTACAAAACAATGTCTTGTTCTTTATACGAGAAGTACAATAGATCCGACATTTGGCATAAATTTGATTAAATAATTTTCCCTTAAATTTTTGTTGCTTTCAAATGGCGAGCGTCGTCCAATTTTCATTAATTTTTTATGTCATATTAACATCGTTCAATTTCAAAACGTTCAATCTATTAGAAAAAGATAAAATAAAATTCGATGTAAATCGCCTGACGAACGTATTCCAGCATTTTTTGCTTCATATACACGTATGCTCCTGTGTTCCATTTTCTATTTTAGAATGCAGCCGATATTTCTCCATTACGGCACACGCCAGGCACAAGTATATCTCCTCCCCCTTGAATAAGCAATACTTTAAGAAGGCATATACAATTCGCAACTGCAAATTCCAGCGAATTTAATCAACGTAAAGGTAAAGTACACAAAAAGATTCAAATTATAAATTCGTAATTAGAAACTCATAAAGACTAAATTACAATAAATTAGATAGCCCACTAAATTGCCACCAGATAAATATAACCCCCACATTTTTATATCTTTTCATTTTCTCTTTCTCACAATTTAGAATATACGTTTCGCGAACGTAATGACAATAAAACGACGAACAATAGCAAAGGTATAATATATGTTCAAGTAATTAAAAATTAACGCCGTTTATCGGTAAATATAATCACAATGATTTAATCGTAATAAATGATAATCGTATCGAAAAACAACGGTTCAATTGAATTTCGCTTCATCGTACGTGCATTTTTTTTAGTTTTTATAAATATCAGGTAAATAACGTAACAGCATTTCTCTTTAGATCCCACGCGATCTCGCGCAATGACGACCGCGTTTACGACATTCTTTTTTTTTTTTTTTTTTTTTTTT